TAACGCATGGCACCTCGGTCTGTTCCGTGACCTCCTGCCAGTGAGCCATCGACACTTCACGTGACCTCAAAGTGCACATAATTGCCGAAGTATCGGGCAATGTCCCTTCCTCACAGCTCATAGAGAGGCCTCGCTACGTTTCGCACAATGGCTGTGGAAGGGCCATTTCCTGAAATGGCACCTACTGTATACACTTTTTCTTTAAGACATGTTTTTGACAAATGCATTGAGGTTTTTAAAATCTGTGCTTGTGTACCAAATACACATATGTAAGGTAAAGGTTACAGCCCTGCAATTATTTACTCATGCCACTGCTGCCAGATGGGCCTCAATTAGAAGCAGCTGTGGACAGTCCCCTTCGAGGGTATTTTTGCCAACTTTTTCACGTGGGCCAGAACGTCTTGGAAGTTGTGGGAGTAGCCACACTTTACCTCACCTTACGCGACAAACAGCTGATCGACTCGCTGTGATGGTTACATATACGCAGGTGATTTCCCAACAAGGTGCTCGTTGTATTGGCCACAGAGGAGATGGAAAGGTTGATTCTCCCCCTGCCCCCCGACCAGGATTTCAACTCATCTTATTTTAACGTCATCGATATATCACCTTGACCAAGGCGCTTTACAGAAAAGTAGGAACGGTACAACGCGCGTGTGTGAATGTAACAGCGGAAATGAGGTGAATGTAATAGATGAGAGGAAGTAATGGGGGCGACTCTGTGATACGTGCATTAGGTGAAAGCAAATTTCATGAAAGCAAATAATGATGAATGGAGTGCATGGATGGGGAATGAGTGGTATCCATGTAATGAGATTGCGAAGAAGTTGCAGGCACTGTAGCGGTTATATTAGGGAAATTAATGGGTCGTGAGGTGAGCTATGGAAAAAAGTTATATTTGGGGGAGGAAGCGGAAAACGAGTGAGTGAAGGTGACTGCTTAACGTGGAGGGGAAGTTTGTTCCAGTGAAGGGAGGCGAGAAGAGAGAAAGAGCGACAGCGTGGATTGAGCACAAGGAGGAGGAGTGACAGAGCAGAGACAACAAAGACTGAGAACGTAGAGGGCAGGAAGAGACATGGAAGGATACATGAGTGGAAATATATGGTGGGGCAAGACCATGAAGAGATCTGTAGACCAGCGTGAGGAATTTTAACAGGCAACGGGAGTACACAGGGAGCCAAGTGCAGTTGGGCGAGGAGAGTCGAGGGATGAGAATTGTCGGGAAGGTTGATTGTAATCTTTCCAGAGGTCACATGGGTAGCAGTTTCCCTGCTGTGATTGTCTCATCGGATGACGGTCGCTTGTGTTGCGATCGAAACGTCGTGATCTATTATTTTCTACCTACGTGACTTTACCGAAAAAAACCAAAGGGTATGTACAGAGGTGTTTTGGTTTTATTGAAAGGGGGCAAAGGAGTAAATGGTAAATAAGAGAGTTAGAGTAATCCAGAGAAGTATGTTTAAAGGAAATGGATGAGGAGTTTTGCAGCAGACGTTGAAACGACCGGTCGGAATTTTGCGAATTTTAAACAAGTGAAACCGGCAAGCGTGGTTAGCGGCGCAAAATCTGATGGGGAAGGGAGAGGGTAGAGTCAAAAAGAACACCAAGCTTGCGTGCTGAGGAAATGGGGGAAAGAGAAAAAGGATTGAAATTGATGGTGGGACAGGGATGAGGAGAACGGGAGGCAGGGAAAGATGTGGGTTTTGTAAGGGTTGATGGACATAAAAGTGACGTGACATCCAAGATTGGATGGAAACCAAACACGGCATGAGGCGAGGTGAGAGGAGAGGAAGGAATAGAGAATCAAATGTGGATGTCATTTACAACCCTCCGATTTCAAGCCACTCGCTCTATAAGGGCTGGGCCACCCGCACTCCACTGCCGAGCAGGTAGTAAACAATGATAGACAACGTTTCTCTTTTAGGCACATTGGTGTGCTGCTTTTCGTCGTAAAGTTCAGTTTTCCAAAAGCACTCTGCTCTGCCCTGCTCTCACTCGGCACTTTATGTCACAACGTAGACTCCGGGTCCACCTCACATAATTGCCCCAAGTACAATGTACTCTAGTTGCCTCCCTCTAACACGAAACGTTACTTTGTTTAGTGAATTTGTTGTACGCGACCTCGGTTATGTTCCTGTATTTATGTGTAGCCCAAGTATGTGGCCTTCTCTGTTATTTATTTTCTCAACAGTGCCCCTGTAGTTCATTTCCATTGGCTGTTGCACGCATTATTCCATCAGCAGGCGGTTACTTCTTACTCCGTTTGTGTTGATCCATTTTATTTCTCAATCAAATATTTGGGAAATATCTCCAGAATGTTGCTCTGAAATGCCTTGGCAGGAGTTAATCTTCATGACCCAGACTCCTCAATTGATTTGTATGTTGTTATTTTCTTTGTGCAATCTCAATGTAGCAATATAATAAACAAATTTAAAACCCATTCTATTGAGCTGAACTTGCATCAAGATTAAAGCTCCCGACCGCACAAATGAGAGTCAAGTGCCCTCGCCGCCGTGCTGTCGGCCTGGTCTGTTGCTTAATTAATCTTTTTTAAGTGTTGCTTTCAATATTTACTGACTTACTGGCATTGGTAAAAGTGTGAAGGTTTATTGATTATTGGAAATCCCTATCAACAACACAAACAACAACAACAAGTCAATGTAAGAAATGGTCCAGACTGATAGAGTCCGAGTGTCACATTAAATTAGTATATCTCACCTGCGCTGGAGATCTCGATCTGCTGAGCTAAGTGATCGTCCTGCTGTTTCAGAAGCAAAGTTCCGCACCTTAAAGATGCGGGCACGTAACTCTGGCTCTCTGGTCATTTTGCCCTGCAGGCGGGCGTCAAACGCGCTGCGTGGTCAAAGGATTCACCCACCACAGACTCGAGATCGCCGTCGTTGGAAGCGGCACTGACGCCACTCTCGCCCGACAAAGGCGTCAGCTGAGCTGAGCCAACTGGCCACCTCATTCTGTTCGATGTTTACTCTCGCCAGCGCTCGTCACCGCATGTCAAATGTGATTTGTATTTGGTGGTGTGAGAAACGCGTGCGTGCGTGTGCAAGAGTGGGGAGCGCTAGTGTCGCGGTTAGCGCGCTGCACTACGGACCTGGCAACCCGAAATCGATTCCCGTTCACGGCCAGCACCAGTGACGATTATCTGAACCGGTCCTGGGCCTCCCATTGGTCGACTCAGCCTCAAATGAGTATCTGCTGAGGTGTGTAAACATCGCCACTAGGGAGACAAAGGCGGCCGGGCGTGGTGCTGGCCACCCACCCCCTCGTGTGCCGTGCCGGCCTTCGTAGGTGCTCTCTAACAGCACTTGCCCCAACAGTCTGTTCAGGCTATACGGAGGATCTTTGTCTTTGTGTGCAAGAGTGGGGAGCGGTAGTGTGGCAGTTAGCACGCTGCGCTATGAAGTCTGTGTCCCGAGTTTGATTCCTGCTCAACGGCCACCAACAGTGACGATTACCTAAGCCGGTGCTGCCCCACCCCTTCATATGCTGTTCCGGCCTTCATAGGTGCTTGCTAAGAGCACTTGCCCCGCCAGTCTGTTAAGGCTATAGGGGACCTTTGTCTTTGTGGAAGGTTCAGTGCACCTGCCAATTTGCCACGAGTCATTTTAATGCGTCCAATTTTACTCGCTCTCGCTCTTCTGAACCAACCCTTCATTCCGAGATGACCTTTACCGGAAAAAAACCTCTTAACCCGATTTGTTAATCTCATAACATGAATGCAGCCGGTTAGTTGATTGCATTTAAACCCACATCAGATGACTTTAGAGAGAATTGCTCATTGCATGTAGAATTTAGTTTCACACGTTGTCACGATTGCAGCATTTATCTGAAAATTCTACAACATCGATTGCACCGAATGCACGTGACAGTTTATTGCCCTGCTCAACAGGTGCAATGGGTGGAATATCATTCTGAAAAAAAAAATACCGTAGCCAATTAAGTCGCTGAATGCCTCGGGGGAATCTGGGCCATGCGTGCTAACATCAGTACCCTCACCCGCCAATATATAAATAAAGCCAACCAAACAGACTTCTGTGCTTCCTTCACTTCCGCAAACCACATAAACCCCGATTTAAAGCTTTCGTAACTGCAGGGATTCATCTTCTTGGTTCTTTTGGTAAAGTCACGTAGAATTGAAATAATAAAATAATAATAAAACATCATAAAATAATTCTCACGACGTTTCGGCCACAACGCAAGTCCTCAGGTGGAGAACAGGTCTGTCGAGGAGACAGAGTCTGAATGAGTCTGAATGACTCTGTTTCCTCGACAGACCTGTTCTCCACCTGAGGACGGCTACTTGCATTGTGGCCGAAACGTCGTGAGAATTATTTTATTATGTTTTATTTTTATTATTTTATTATTTCAATTCTACGTGACTTTACTGAAAGAACCAAGAAGACACATTAACCCCACCACGGAAAAGTGTGGTCGAATAAACCCCCAAGGTCTGCGTGACCTGGGGAGGCCCTCATCCAGTGGTGGATTGACCAAAGCACCGTCCATGTACGTGCACGTGTGCACTGTGCTGGTCACTGTGGGAGAATTGGTGTGGGATCATAGACATGTAGCACAACAATAGATTTTACCGTACTGCCATCTGCTGCCCGCAGTCACGCATGTATGTCTGTGAATGTGTTTACGTGCTTGCATGTCTGCCTGTCTGTGTGTGCGCATGGGGAGCGGTAGTGTAGCGGTTAGCGCGCTGCGCTCCGAACCTGGCGACCCCGAGTTCGATTCCCGCTCACGACCAACACCAGTGACGGTTATATGAACCGGTCCTGAGCCTCGCTTAGGTCGACTCAGCCTCAAATAAGTACCTGGTGCGGTGTGTAAACATCACCACGAGAGAGACAAAGGCGGCCGGGCATGGTGCTGGCCCACCCACCCCTTCGTGTGTCAAACCAACCTTCATAGGTGCTCGCGAACAGCACTTGCCCCAACAGTCTCTTTAATTCTCGTATAAATCAAACACGCGAGCTCACCGTCTGCTGCAGGTCCGGGATGCCCACGCGCACCACCATGGTGTTCTGCTGCACGTCCTCCAGGTGGCCGCTGGGTCTGCCGGCCGGCCGCGCGCTGGCCCCGCTTTCGTAGCCGCCCTCTGGGTCCTCGCCCCGCGAGCTGTCCGTCTCGGACGCCTCGCTGTATTCCGACTCGGCATTCTGCTGGAGATCCATGACGCGTCCTGACAGCCAGAGGCCTCCCGCTGACGACGACTGTCTTCTCTCTCTCTCTACGCTCGCTCACTTTGTCGCTCGCTCGCTAGATGGATGGCTAATGCGCACGCTCGACCACTCGCTCTTCTTCCGCGTATCTGTTGCACACGCTAGCTGATATTTTCTCCGCCGTGCATCCGTGTCAGTGTTTATTTCTATTTGTTGTGCAGAACGGGGGACACTCTTTTTGGAGCTATTTTAGCCGCTTTTTCTTCTTCCTTGGGGCGTCTCCCTTGCAGCTAAATACCGTAACAATCTTGGTTTTCCTTTTCTCTTTTATGATTGCAGATTCATCGCTTCTTCCAATGTTCTCCCGTGTGTTCAGGTGGTCATATCTTCAAAGGAGCTTGGTGGTCTCTTTGCATTTGTATTTCTTTTTGCACTTTATATTTTGCCTTTGTTGCATTCTAAAGCCATCGTCCTTTATCAGAATGCATTAAAATCTCTCGGATTTTCCCTGCAACAAAAAAGAGAGCACCCACACGCACAATGCCACTAAATTATGGCTTTCAACACAGACATCTTGCTCATCAAAAGCAGTGAAATGTATTAATTTACAGAGGCACATTTTTGCTCGCGAGTTCCACGTTTTTTCCCGTGCTGCCACGCACACTGCGAGAAAGTGTTGCAGCCACGATTGTTAACCTCGCCAATGCTAGAGGGATCAGCAGCGAAGTTGCACAGCGGTGCTTGGTTTTCAAAGGTGGACGTTCAGTAAATGGCAGGAAGCAAGTTGCAAACATTTCACGATGAGACTGAAACGCCAACTGAATGGAATTCAATGCTCTGATTCAAAACGAAACAATTGCACGACAGCTTTCACATGGTTCATATTAAACACGCGTTGGGGTTACATTTGTATGCACCCTCAGTTTAGCGGTGTTGTAGAACCTCACCACTGCCACAGTCTAACTGACTCCTATTGCTGGTGCCTTTCCAAACCTCACTCGTTAAAACGCTGCAGCACAGACTCCTACCAATACCAATATCCGCCATTCACCAGTAAGTAACGGTGACGTCACCACGGCGCCTGTACCAGGCCAGGTGCAATTTTAGGCCACGTGAAGTGTCGAAGGCTCGCTGATAGGTCTCGGGTCAGACCCAGGTGCCATGGGTTGGCTGACTGAGATGATCCAGGCACACTCCTAACAACCTTTTTCACAAACACACTTTCAAGTTATGTAAATTATTAACTGCGCTCTATTGTTTCCAGCCATTTGCAGTTACAGTGTGTACGCCAAGATTCAATGTTCAGCTCAAAGCTAAGTGTCCCATTTTTTTTCATAATGAAGCTCTCCTAATATCACTTGTACACGTTGGTTCAATGAGAAATATATAAATTCTCAAATAATAATTTAAAGAAAAGTAATTAAGAATCTTAAATTTATGATGATGATGATTTGAGTTTGATGAAGCCCTCCTCTTACGCCAGCGGCAGAGCACTGTGCATGCATAAGTGACTTACATCACAGCTCATCTCACCACATCACGAAAGGGCACCCCTAGTGGCAGCTGACCCTAAGCAGCAGCACAAGGTGGCTTGGTACCTGTCCTGCAAGCAGGCATTATTCTGCCAGTTGGGGGCGATGATTTCTTGTCTGTGTAATGTTGCGGATAATATTTCAGATTTGGAAAATATGGAACCGGATGCCACCGCACACAATTGCCCACTCGTGTTGAATGACATCAGGGTAACTTTAACGTTCACTGTGAAGCAGATGGCATGTATTATACGGTTGATATGCACACAGCACTATTAACCAGGGTGGCCACCAAGACTGAACCGCAAACCTCTGCAAAAGTGGCGAACGCGCTACGGCTGGGCCAAGTCACCACCCCATTTGTGGAGATTTTATGGTTTGAAATGAATTCCACAATAAAGACTTAAATTATGGAAAGATGTTCTCTTGCAGTCAGAAAATATTGAATATATGAATGTTGAACTTTTTTGCAATGAAAATGCATCACTCATCCACTCCAACAATCCCGTGATGTTGAAGCACAAGGAACAGACTGTATTTAAAGTGCTAAATCGGTCAATACACAATGTGAGATTCTTTCTCAACCAGGTAGAGTTACCTGGTGAAAAACTTAGCATTGAGAAATAATTCAAGATTTATTTGGTCTTCAGCAGTAACCATGTCTTTGCCCCCTATTGGCAGTTGTCATCCTTCCATGTTTACCAATCAATATAATAATAACGATGCATTTGTCTAAGCACAATGCACCGTTTAAACAACTTAGAAAGCTAAGCTGCCTTGAGCAAGACACGTTGCTAGACGGCTTGATGGCTGATGGTTCAAGGCAATGAACAGAACGGGTCCGACAGAATGTCCAACCTAGGAGATGAAGCGATGAAATCCGCTCGTGTCGAGACGCTATGTGGATTGTTACATCACAGGATCATGAGATCTCCAATCGTCTCCACACCTCCGATTAACACGGTTGACTACGTACACTGCAAAAAAAGTTCGACATACATACATAGAATGACTTGGGGAGGCATTCATCCCCAAAGTGAATCGATCTTGGCCGCTGATGATGACGACGGCGATGATGATGAAGTACACTAATCATCTCAAGGTGCTGCAAAAGACAAGCTTCTAAATATAAACGGCACATTCGGACAAAATCAATGCTGAATACGTAGGACCCAAAAATAACTCAAATATGCATTGGGTGGATTGAGCAGGGGCTGTGACACCCCAAACAGGCGACTCAAACCTCGCTAAAACAAACACAGATGGCGAATTAAACCGTGAAGCACAACGTTTGAGACAACAACGTCTACCATTTAATGCGAGCTCGGAAGATTGGGATGATGACTATTTAGGATGAAGATGGCAACATTTGTGAAAGTGTCATTAACAAGTATCAAGTCGATTAGCACCTCTGATTAGCAAGGTTGGCTACATACGGTGCGAAAACAGTTCAACATACATACAAGTGAATGGCGGAGGAGAACAGGAAGGTCTGAAAGCAGGATCAGTGATGCTGGGATGAGCCCAGAATCCCCAAATGCCCCCTTAGCTCCCACACAACCCCCCCCCCCCCAAGTTTACTCTGCTTCACGTTGCATCACTGTTCAACTCAGATAAACTATTTTTATTTTAAGTCCTGCTGACCTATATAGCCCTTTTTCGGAAGCGGCTTGGCCACAAATGATACCTCAACAAGTGCAAATGTATAGTAGCCAAAAGCTCGAAACGCATTTTCATTCTAAACGTGGAGGGAAAAACTGCAGGATGCGGAGAAAAATCCACGCTGCCACGGAGATAGAGACACGCAAACTCGAAATATACAGGCATTGTCAGGGTCGGGATCGAATCCACGAACTCCTGCATACCAGGCGAAGGAGATAACATCTCATCACCGTGGTTGCCCTGTTATTTTTGGATCTAAAACACGTTGATGGAGAACATTGGAAATTGTGAAGATAGGGAACAGACTGTAAAATCCCTGCTTTGTGAGTTCAATATGGTAACACATGCCTGCATGTGAATTTATTTTTTGTCATTGCAAGGACAATTGCAAACAGTTCTCATGATACATCATTGATTCTACTCGCGCGAGTAGAATCAATGATCTAAAGTCAATTTACGATTCTTAATATTGGTCGCGAAAACCTCCACGTTAAAACTCTCTCTTACATGACAAAGACATTTAAATAAAACCATTTGTACTTTCATTTTATGACGAACATATACAGTAGTCAACAAAACTAGTACAGTAAAACCTTGGATTGCGAGCATAATTCGTTCCGGAAACGTATTTGTAATCCAAAGCACTCATATATCAAAGCACTCGTATATCAGTTGTGATCACGTGACGCTCGGCAGACAAAGCGTATACACGTACTACTCGTATTGCAAGACCTCGCTCGTTTATCAAATTAATATTTATTTTAAAAAATTGCTCGTCTTGCAAAACACTCACAGACCAAGTTACTCGCAATCCAATCTTTTCCTGTATTCTGAAATGTCTTTTTTTATGGAACGAATAACATATGCAACGACACAGAAGTGTGAAACGAAGTGGTGTCTGCATTAGGCACCTGTGGCCCACATTGTAACATGCATTGAGCCACAACTCAGTGGCAATTTCCTACAATTTGTTCATTCTCACAAGGTTTCTGATTTATTTAGCTTCGCTGAACTTAAGTGAGAAAAGTTTACAATAGCTTTCTTTGACATTTTCACGGAGGCTATTAAAGAGGCGGGGAAAAAAACATTTTTGAGTACCGGTACTGAAAAGCGAGTAGCAGATTCAAAGCGAATTTCTTTAGAAATGCTTTTTGTGTTATATTTGTTGTCCTTCCCACGCACCTCCAATGTGCACGGTTGGCGTGAAGGTGAGGCGGTGTGAGTCTTGCACTACAAGTTTGTAAAAGACATGTGGGAACACACACATACCTACTCTCCTTCAGCCCACGTGAGTAGGAAAGTAGCAGATGTAACCGTGAATAAATAAAAATCGATGGGATTAAGTGTGGGCACTCGTCCCCTCCTCCAAGGTGTCTTACTATCGTGGAAGAGTAGGCCAAATACCCTCTAGAGCCCCCTGTAGTGGAGGCCTTTCACTCAATAGTGGCGTTTGCAAAAAATTGCAGGGCTGTATCTTTACCACCGTTGGACCGAGTTATTTAAAAGGCAGCCTGCATGCACATGTAATGACGACATGACACACTTCACTTGAGATGGCACTTTACTGAGGACACGTTCACTTGACACAGGCGGAGACCCCCACTGCAAAAGCCCCGAGTCTCCCACGCATATCCTCCTTATATACCGACACGAGGCCACGCCCCCCTTCCCGAACCTTCTCGCTGACACTGGACGCTCGCTCCACCAGCAGAATCTACCGTTCTCTTCCGTCACCTAGCCACCAGTCCCTTCCCACTCACAGCTGACACCCCTGTCATTACCTTCCGTGGCCGTTAGTCCACTCACACAGCATGTAGAGTCGGCTGTCATTACAAACACATCACGCCCCACCCTCCTACAGGAATCCCCCCTCCCCACCATCCCACCATCCCACCAAAATCCTGCCACCCCCAGGAAACAAAAGCCTAAGACCCTAAAGCGCCACCGGTGGCTTAGAGCATGATATCGCAACCGGTGCGCCGCACCCAAAGTCCCCCAGGTGTGTCGCAGTATTTTCGGAATTGCAGGAGAGGAAAGTCCGCGCCACCTCCCACTGCCCGCTGGTCGCGCATGTAGAGTGCGGCAGCAGGCAAGCCGTCAGCCTCCACCCCCCACCCCCTCTCAACTCCCCCCGATCACCCATGCGCAATTGGTAACAACAGACGCGGAGACACGCAGACGCACGCGGACACGGAGACAAACGACAAAATATCTCCCCATTTTGCTGTGTGCGAGCACCTATGAAGGCCGGCACGAAACACGAAGGGAAGGGTGGCCAGGACCACGCCCAGCCACCTTTGTCTCCCTAGTGCTG